AGGAGGTAAAAGAAGATGAGCTGTTTGATTTCTACTGGTTTTGGTGTTGGTTTCGATTGGTTGGTGCAGGGTAATGATGTGGCTGGGGCTCCCATCCTCGTTGTTTCCTTGTGGCAACCGTTGATGCTTCTTCTGGATGGTCCCTGTGAATACTCGAGGATGTTGGTAGTCCTGGCTTCCTACTGAACCCTTTTTTGGAACTTAAGCTCTTAGGTTTTATTTTAACTGTTGTAATTTTTAGAGAGCTTTTGTTTTGGTGTTGATCTTGTATTCGTTCTTTTTTGTTATTTTATATAAATCTCTTTCAAAAAAAAAAAAAAGTGGTAATTTTAGAAAATTTGGTTTTCTTAGCCACTTGAGTTTCATCCAGAATGATTAAAATCAAGACCTTTGGCTTGCAAACCATTTATGGCCACCACATCGCTTTGCCAGCCACCACATCGCTTTTGCCTAATGATTTTAGGCTTTATTTGGGATGACTTTCTTATTGCTTTTTAAAGTAGCTTTTTAGTATAAAAAATTTAATTTTTGTTCTAGAAAACTACTTTAAGAAGCAGTAAGGAAGTCATCTCAAATGAAGTCTTAAATGCGCTTCCACTTTCAGATGATCGTTAAAAGATTGAAATGGCATATTGATTTTTTCATTCAACACTTTTTAGCCAAAAAAGTTACCAAATGTGTCAAAATTCTGATATGACCATGCTTTAATATTAAGAACTTAGAGTTTTTTCATTTGCGTAAAAAATCAATAACTATTTAAATTCAAAGATATATACCAAACTTCAAAATATCACTAAATCTTCTCCACACCTTAATATCACCAGTAGGTGGGTAAATGGATTGAGTTTGGTTGAGTTCATTCTTAGTCAAGTAAAGCTAGTTTTTTTTTATTTTTTATTTTTTATTTATTTTTTTTTTATGTCAATCTAGTTTAATTTATAATTAGCTCAATTTGAGCTTGAGCTTAACTTGACTTCATTTGCTGAGCTCAAGTACTACTAAAGTAAAAATCATAAAGATTGAACACAACTCAAATGCTCATGCAAGATAAGAATGCTCAAACATTACTCATTTTGAAGCTCAATTTTTTCTTTTGAATATCTACTATAAATAATTGATTAGGCCAACATAAATCATGATGAATCAATTGATAGTGAATGAGCTAGCTCCACAAATTGACAAGTTAAATTGAGCCAATCTCAAGCTCAAGCTTGTATAATATATGTGCTCAAATTTAAGCTCGAACTCATCACATAAAAAGATGGACTCTTGAAATAGTTAGCAAGTCAAGTTTGAGCTCACTTACACTCCTCACCACCATTCAAAAACCATGTTGAAATTATTATGAATTGTTACAACATACACACTTGAGCCTAGAGAAACACCTAATTGCTACATCTTTTCATCTAGCTAAACATGATTTTTAAATAATCTTCAACAAAATTGGAAATACATAGAGATAAGAATTTGTGCCAAATCAATCCCAATATACATGGGGCTTTCTTGGCTCTTATATAATTCTAAACAAAATAAACACAAAAATTTTAGTTATCTAAACCTTTAAATGGGATTTGATCTTTGCAAGATCCATCAATATAAACACTTTTTATTTTATGACATACCTAGTCAATATTTGCTCAATTAAATCCATCCTCCATCAACCATAAAATCAGCCATAATTTGCTTGGAGTTAATCACCTTTGAAAATAGAGAAGCTAAAGATCGAATTCACAGCCAATCATCATAATAAAAGGAAACATTCCACACACCAATACCCCATCTAATAAAATTTTCAACTTGCATTCTATTGCTGAACAATGCTTTTAGACCACATAAGCCTCCTTCCTCAAAGGAGCAGAAACAAGATCTAAACAAGAGAAATATTTGGGAAAAGGAAATTCAGCTCATATATAAACAAATTTTTTTCAATCATAAATGCTTCTAGACCCATCCTTCCTTCATCAAGAGGAAAGAAAGTGTCATTCAAAGAAGACTGATGAGTTTTGTTTTTGTTTTGTTTCTTGTTTTTTTTTTATTTATTATTATTTTTTTAGGATTACCCTAAAAAAAGGCAATTCAAATGCTTTTCAAATTTATTCATAATACCAATCGGGTGAAATCAGATTGCATGAGGAAAATAATCATAGAATTCAACACTTCTAAGAAGTGTAAGCTTGCCTCCAAAAGAAAACATCATGAAGTGCTAACTTAAAACAAGGCAGCAATTTTTAAATTCAGCTCATCAAATAAATTAATCTTCTTCTTTCCTCTGAATAAACACACTCTTTAATAAACAAGAGGATCATTTTGAATGGATATTCTTGAAAAATCTTTCAGCATTAGTTACTTTGTTAATAACATCTTCTTAGGCTTCATTTGGGACATTTAGTTTCTAAAGCAACTTTTTAGTACAAATTTTTTTAGTGCAAGAAATTCTTGTGCTTAAAAGATGCTTTTGAAAGCCATAAGAAAGTTGTCCCAAATGAAGCCTTAGACGCCACAATGTTGATTTTACTTTTATCAACCATAAGATCAGAAGACTCCTCATAATAATCTAGGCAATTCAAAAATTTCTTTGCACTTGTATTTTTTTTTTCATTTATAAAAATGATTATATCATCTACAAAACAAAGGTGAGAAATATAGAAAGAAATTTATCTCTAATATTCATCATAGAATCGATGGAAAAAAGAATACTACAAACTCTAGAAATGTAATCCATAGCTATGATGAAGAAGAGGGGGAATGAGGATCTCCGCATCTCACAATTCTGAAGGAATTAAAAAATTCAGCCCTCACCCAATTAAAGAGAATAGAAATCTATCAATTCTCAATGCAATAAGCAAAGTGATTAGTATAGTCTTCCAAGAGTCCAAACCATTTAAAAATTTTATAAAGAAATGCAATTGAAGTTCATCATATGCATTAGAAAGATGAAGCTTCACCATCATATTATTCACATACATCTTAAAATTCAAATGAATTTTTAACTATTTAGCTAACAAAACATTGTCAGTGAAATTTCTTCCATAAATTTACCTACTTTCGTTAGGGGAAATGATTTTAGGAAAAAATTTAGCAAATCTAGTAGATATAGTTTTTTAAACAATTTTGCTCAAAACTGAGCATATACTAAGTCTTAATCACATCAGTAGGACCAAAGTTTCAATAAGAATGGAAGAAGGCTGTTGAAAATTCGTCTAGTACTCTAGTAGAATCAGTATAAATAGAGAAGGTACTTTTTATCATTTCCTTAGTACCAGGTATGGTAGTTAAAATCACATTCTCCTCTTCTGAAATGCATTTTAAAATTAGATTTTCCAATATAATTACTGAAGAATTACCATAAAGCAAATTTTTAAAATAATTACATTAAAAATTCTGAATTTCAATCAGTATAATAATTCAATTGCTTTAACATTATTTAATTTTGCAAATTTAATTTTTACTCCACTTGGCATTCATTATTGAGTAATAAAATCTAACTTTTCTATTATATTCTTTAATACTTCTAAGGACCTATTATACAATCACTACAGGAAATTTGCTCATTACCAGTAGTTTTTGCCGGCGGTTTACCTGTAAATACCGGTGGTTCTGAAAAAACCGGCGGCTTTTCAGCTGTTGTTCCACCGCCAAAAAAAAGGGCGTTCGAAACCGTTGTCGGCGGTGTTTTTCAGGCGGTTTATTTCCCCGATGGCTTTCCGGCGACCTACACTGCCGGTTTTGGCCACTGATACAGCGCCGTTAACTTTTAAAGCCGGTGGTTTACCCGACGGTTTTGTGACCGCCGCTATTACCGGCGGCATAAGCTTCCATAATGGCCGGTTGGGCCGCCAATATTCACCGGCGGCCAAACCGTCAGATAAACCGCTGTTAGTACCGGCGGCTAGACAACCGCCTGTCTAAGCTGCCAATAATGGCTGAATTTCTTGTAGTGAATCCCATGCTGGACTTCTACTTCTTGGGCAATGTTTTAATATCGACCTCAAAAGGCACTAACTGTCTGAAGATATACCATTATTCACCTTTAATTCATGATATAGGCGATATTCAAGCCCTCCTAATTAAGGTATAATTTATCCCAGGGGGATATCATCAAGTAATTCTTTGACTAGCAACCTCATATAGGTCTAACATCCTAGGAGGAACTAAATCAAATCTTAATATCCTTGATTTGAGAAATACACAATATTTATAATGTATAAATCACTAGATGATCAATCACAATGGAATTAAATCAAACCTCTTCCACACAAGTTTACATCACAGAGCAATACTTCAATAAATAACATTAGATTAGTCATACATCCATGGTGGATTCTCTCAATCTCTTTCAATATATTAATGTCATCGAGTAATACTCTGAAAAAACATTCTTTATGGATTTCTCTCAAAGTCATCAAGCAATGCTCTGATAAAGAACCTCAAAAAAGCTCTCCTATGAGGTAGTCTAAAAGAAAAGATGATAATGGACGTCGTCATCATTAAAAATATTTCATGAGAATAAGTAGTTGACGGGTTCATCACTTATTCAAAGGCCATATAAGGCTTAAAAACCTCAAAAGTCATAAGTATATAAAAAGCTTCAAAAGGTACATGTTCAAGTGTACTTTCATTTTCACAAGAAGTTGAAATTAAAATTACATTGTCATCATCTATACATGTTAATGTCATCAAGCAATAAAAAACCATAAAATATCAAATATCATTTGTGAATTATATTGACCTCTTCTCTACTGCATATTAAAGCATCTCCTATAACTTATTCTTCAATAAAAAATTATAACCTGATCACCAATATGCCTCAACTCAATTGACACAGTTAGTCTGTAGCAAGACTACTAGCAGGGCACGCTGCTTCAACCTCTTCCATAAGAGATGTCTGATATCCACACACATCAATATGGATGCATATTGCCTTGAGAAAAATCAAACTTGACAACTGCCATCATTGGCCTTCTTCTTAATGTCTATTGTTGGTCTTTCACTTCATATCAGCTATCATAGGCTTCTCGCTCAACTACTATTAGCAACACTCCCTCTAATTATCTCGTTAAGCTCTCTACCCAACTATTAATTGCCATCAAACTTCCACAAAATCATTGATTGCCGATGGACATATGATCAATTCCTAATCACCATCAAACTTTCACTAGGGTGCCGATCATTCCCAAACTTCAGGAAAATTTTTAGGTTTTTTTTCAAACTTTTTGACCCCATATAAAAATTTTTATAATTTATAAAAAGAAAACGTGGGGCTCACCGAAATAAATCAAAATATTTTAATTGCAATTTGTTCTAACCAGTTGGCTGATGAAGCGGGACCCCCAAAATGATGTGCCTTTACAAATGCAGGTGGATAGGTCACCTCTAGCTGTAGCAGCTAGCAGCCAGCCAGTCCTCTTAACCGCCAATGTGTATTTGGGCTCTATTTGTTGCTCGGACAGGCTTAATTGGACGTTTTTTGCCTCTTTGGAGCCATTTTTTGACATTCCAAATCAAATTTTAACACTTTTGGTGCTAAACGATGCCTCTATAATAAATTTTGAGCAATTTCAAATGTTTTTAAGTATAAATTTTCTATAATTTCTTCTCCAATAAACACACCAACTTAAGGACATCCTTAATTTACAGTTAAGGCATCCTTAAGTTACAGTTAAGGATATTTTATTTGGTTCACAATTTTGAGAGGAGATCCACGTTAAAGTCCAGGGAATGATCTCACTTCGTAATTATTCAAAAATTGTAATTATGTATTGAGAGAATTTGTAAAGCTATGATATATATTTTTGGACTCTACAGTCTTTGATGTCCAAAAATAGGATGGCAACTAATATATCATCAAAAATTTGTCTTGATCGAGCATGAATCTCTAGGCAAAACTTAATTGGAAAATTTTGAAATTAAATTTTGAACCATCTCAACTCCAATCTTAACTAACTTATATTCAAACAGAATGTCTCAAAAAGACAAACCCAATAATACTAAATTTAACTTAATCTAGGCCTAAATGGGTTCAAATCAAAGACCCAAAGCTCCATTGGAAGGTTCAAACCATATTGTGGACTACCAAATGATTTCCAAATGTAACATGCTTGTAATAAAAATCAGGTGGCTCAACATGATAATCCAACAAGCCAAACATCATCAAAATTTTATATCACTAAGACATTAAAAAGCCCAATAAATGGTCCACAATCAAGGGAAATACTGATGGTCCATTTAAACCACTCCCAACATAACATTAATCTCCATAATATTTACTAGTTATATAACTCTAAAAAAACTATAAATATACCCCTCATTTCTCATGGGGAAGGGAAAGAAGAAAGAAAGAGAAGGAAGAGAGATAAGTTAGAGTTTTCTTGCCACTAGACTCCTCGACCACTATTGGACCCGCGACCAATGTCTGACAATCGCCAGACATCTGCCCAGCTTTTTATTCAACCTCCGTCACCAGATAACTGCCTTTTTGACCATTGTCGTGCAACGCCTATGATCTTTTTGATGTCCATCATCTGCCAACTATGGTCCTTCTAACCTCTGTCACTGATAATGATCTTTTTGACCACTTTACCTCACCAACTACGGTACTTCTGACCTTTATTGCAAGAGAATGGTTTTTATGACCATTATTACCTGCAGACTATGATCCTTCCAACTTTCATTGCTTGAAAATAATCTTTATGACCACTATCACCCATCGACTACGGCCCTTCTGACCTCTGTCACCAGTCGACTATGATCGTTTCAACCTCTACCACCAAAAAATTATCTTTTTAACCACTATAGCTCACCGACTACGGTCCTTCTTACCTCCGTCACTAGACAATGGTCTTTTTTACCATTGTCACACAATGACTATAGACTTTTTGACCTTTGTCACCTGCTAATTACTATCCTTTTGACCTCCTTTTCCAGACAACGATCCTTCCGACCTTTGTTGCTCGCAGACTACAGTCCTCCGAACCCTGTCACCCACCGACTACGATCCTTCGAACCTCTATCACTAGCTAACTACAGTCTTTTCGACCTCCATAGCTAGAGAATAGTCTTTCAGACCTTGGTTATCCATTGACTAGGGTCCTTCTGACTTTCGTCACTAGACAACAATCTTTTTTACCTCCATTTTCCTCCAACTATAGTCATTCCGACCTTTGTCACTAGACAACAGTATTTTTTACCTCTATTATCCACCGATTAAAGTTCTTCGAACCTCCATCACAAGTTGACTACAGTCCTTTAGACCTTTATTGCCCGTCAACTATGGTCCATTCGGCCTCCGTCACCAAACAACGATCTTTCCAACCTCCGTCACTTGTCGACTATTGTTCTGCCGACTAAACAAATATGTTAATATTGATTCTTCCAATTTTCACCATGTAATATACTCTTTATGATGCATATTTGATGTATCAAGCCAAGGCTTTCCTGTAAAGGAAGGGTCTCATTTGTATTTAATTGCAAACACAAGTGGATTCATTCAAATTGGGCTAGGCCCCATAATTATATAAAAATTACATTTTTATATAATCTTGCTTTTGAAATTTTATATTTGAATTAAAATATGACTGTTGATATAAAATTTTTAATTATTAAAATTTTTAATATAAGTGTAAATGTAATTTTCAAATAGTTCCTAGCTTTTATAAGTTAACATAAAGTTAAATTAAATATTTAAAAAAGTCAATTTAGAATATTTTTAAGTTTCATTAACTATAAATTAATTTATTTTTACTTATTAGAAAACATTAACTTTTGTTGGCCAGGTTAAATTTATAATAGTATTAAAATAAGAGAGTTTATAACAAATTAAAAATATATATATATTTAATATTATTATTAAAATAAATATTAAATTATGGTAATAAACACAAAGTTTAACTTTAAATTCTAATTGAAATAATACCGTTTTTTAAAAAAATAGGAAAAACTGACTTTGGATGAGCTTTGCAGTTTTATAGATTCTATTTGTGCTAAAATATTTTGAGTATAAAGTGATTAAAAGTAATATAGGGAGTTCAAAATCATACATGATTGGTTGGATGAAAAATAAATTTAAAGCAATTAATAAGTAAATTTTTAATGTATTTGAAATTTGGCAAGTATTTTTTTTTTTTTAAGTATTATATTTCCTCACCATCCCCACTGACAGCCACCACTACATTGTCGGTGTTCGCATCTTGCAGTTAGTGTCTGCAGCAAAAACTGCAGACTGCTATCACTTGTTGCAAACTGCCATTTTATCACCTCCATCACTTGTCAATTTTCTAAAATGCATATATTTAAAATACATCATAAAAAATTAAAAATTTCATTACATTTAATCTGCATCCAACTAAATAATTTTCTCATTTCTAAAATGCACATATTCTACTACATTATATTTGAAATTTCATTGAATTTCAAATTCATAAAAAAAAATGTCCATATTTCCACCAATTTAGATCTAGTTGTGCATTACCAATGATCAAAACTATCATTTATTGCCCAATATCAAAGTAAACAAATAACAAAGAAAATAAAAGGGAAGAGCAGCTGAAAGACACTTCTGAACTTTTTAATTCCTAGAACAATGAAGAAACAAAAGTGTACATGTAAAGGGGATTATATAATACTCAAGCAAAAGCTTACTGAACCAACTATAAAGGCCAATACACACCTCTCAAACTGTAGTGTTGAAATAACAAATCCATTAGTTGTAAGCTCCATGAATACCATACACGCCTATCAATGCAAAATTTTGAATTACAACATAAATTAAATCTAACATATGAGTACATTTCCGATTATGATAACTTAAGAGAAAAAAAAAAAAAAAAAAACCCCACTTCCGAGAATCATTGTTTCATGTTATTTATGGCTAGCTTTGTCACAGAACATGACGTCGAGTAACATAACGGCTGCCATTGACACCCCAAATCCCACACCAAATAATGATCCTAATACAATCATGTAATTTCTATTACTTGGAGATGTGTCACCCAAACTTGGAGGTGATGTGGTTGTATTATTTGCTGCTAAAACTGGCGTGTTGCAACAAAAGCATTGTAGTCCCTCATTTCCTTCAAATGAAGTGTTTGTGAAAGAACATAATTGACCTCCTTGTGGAACTATTCCAACCAACTTGTTGTAGGAGAGGTTTAAATATGACAAAAAATGTAAAGAAACAAATTTCTGTGAAATTTTACCCGAAAGGTAATTTCTTGAAACATCTAATGACTCGAGATGTACCAAATTTCCTAATTCTGGAGGAATTTCACCCGTCAAATTATTTTGTGACAAGTTTAGTACTTGGAGAGAGACAAGTTGCCCAATAATTGAAGGGATCTCTCCTTCAAAATGATTGTTGGAAAAATCTATTAAAATTGCATAATATTTTTCTACAGCCATTACTTGCCCCTTAATCATGGAGGTGACCATATATGGATAAACAACTGGGCGTACAATAATGTCTTTTATCATCATTGTCCTAAAACTGTTGAAGCACTTTGCAGCTAAATTTCCACTAAAGTTATTTGAAGAGATGTCAAATACATAAATCATAGGAAAAGCATAACTTGTTTTATAGCTTCCATCAGGAGGCCCAATTAACCCATAGAACTTATTAGATCTTAGAATAAGGATACTTAGATAAGACATATTTCCTAACCAATAAGGAAATGTGTCCTTCAAGTTGTTATTCCCCAAGTCCAAAACTTTAAGTGATCGACAATTAGATAGAGACCTGGGAAGCAATCCTTCTATTTGGTTGTTTCTTAGATTTATGATTTCTAGGTTACTTATTTGACTAATTCCATGAGGTATGGCTCCATGAAGTTGATTTCCTCCAAGATTTAACACACGGAGATTGATTCCATCTTCTAGCAAACATGGTGGAATAGTACCAGTTAGCTTGTTTTTAGATAAATTAAGCATCACGAGTCTAGTTAAGTTGCATATGAATGGTGCGATTTCTCCAGTCAAGTTATTATTTGCAAGAGAAAGCCAAAATAAATGAGATTGTGAAATGGCATTGGAGGGGAACTCAAACCCCACAACTCGATTGAAATTGTTATGTGATAAATCCAAGTACCTTAGCTCTAATAGATTCCAAATGGAAGCTGAAATTGTACCATATAATTGACAACTTGAGAGGTCTAAATGTTTCAAAAACTTGAACTTGCCTATTACATCAGGTAAATTCCTTGAGAAATTGGTATTAGAAGCTAACAAAGTATTTAAATTATTGTACTCTGGAAGATCAGGAAGATAAACGGAAAGCAATGGATTATATGAGATGTCAAGAACTTTCAAATTTCTTAGTTGAAATATTTTTGTGGGAAAAAACCCTTTGAAGTTGTTACCTTGAAGGAGAAGGTTAGATAAGAATGAAAAATTGGCAAATGAATCAGGGATGTTAGAGTCTAAATTATTATGTCTAAAATCGATAAAGGATAAAAAGTGGAGCATGGGTAGAGAGGAACAAATGGCACCGAAGAGGGAGCAGTTATTCATGCTCAACAACTCAAGTACAGGGGTGGAATTGACCAGAACACCACACCATTCATCCCGATATGATGAGACATTTACATTGTCAAGATGAAGCTCCTTTAGACTGCTCATATTTTGCAAAATCATCGGATTAATAGCTAGAGAATCCTTTAAAGTGCAAGAGAGGCCGAGGAAATTCAATTTTGTCAAGCGAGAGATACTAGCAGGAATCTTCCCAACAAATCCAGAATAAGAAAGATCAAGGCTTGAAAGATTTACAAGCCTATCCCACCCATGGTCCGGAATAGCAATTCCATCAAACTTATTTTTGGCAAGATTGAGAGTTTCTAATGATGTGAGATTGAATAGGCTAGGATCGATTGTACCGACGATGAGTCGAAACTTTAGGTTGAGCGCAATGATCCTTCCATATTCATCACAAGTCACACCCTCCCAGATGCAGCAGTCCGTTCCTGGCTGCCATGTCTCTAAATTTCTAGTTATAAAACCTTTCTTAAGCTGCAGAAGTGCTGAGTTCTCTTCTTCAAGGCATCGGCCAGCAGCATCGCAGTTGATCAAGAAAAGCTCCAAAAAGAGAAGCAGTAGGAGGAAGACAGTGAACTTGAAATGAAACAGCTCCATGAATAAGCTCGGAGCTCTCAAAAAATGAAGCTTTAATTGGAGGAAGCAGAAGTTTTAAGGGTTGATATGAGGTCATTCAGAGAACTAGTCAAATTTCAATTGGTGATGGTAGATTGAAATCAGCTTTTTTTATTTTTGGCGGACTGCACAAATTACTGACTTTGGTCGTTTGTGGCCATCTCCAACTCCCAACTAGCGTTATTCTATGAGTTCAGCCTTTTTTAGTTGGACAAATTTTAAATATATTTGAAATTATAGATCAAATAAAGTAAATCATATTTATAAAAATCAAACTTTAAACGTTATAGTCAGAGAGAAAAAATATTTTTTAAAAACTAATTTTTATTGCTTGCCAATTTCTTTATTTTGTTTTTATTAAAACTTTAAGTGTAAATAAATTTTCTTATTTTTGTAACAATCAAATTAGAATAAAATATTTTTATGAGTTATTATATGTGAAAAAATTTGACAATTTAATTTGTCATAGTTTTTTTAAAATTTACATTTTTTTTCATAATTTTTTTTCATAATACATTTTTATTGATTTAAATTCATCTTGTTTTAAAGAAAATAATATTTTAATTAAATATTTATGATAATTCTGATTTATTTTCTCTCTCCTGCTTCTTCGATCAGTTTAAATGGGGATTATAACTAGTTTAAAATTTAGTTTTCTATATTAATTATTAATCCGGTCATTTCAGTTGTAATCTCTATCTAGCTTTATAAAATCAGGCTCTGCCTCAAAATTTCCCCCAAAAAAATAAATTTTATTTGTAACTTTTAATATTTTTAAAATTTTATTGCGATAATTTTATAGTTATAATAACCCGTTAAGCTCAAAATTTAATAAACAATAATTTGATTATATTTATTTGTCGAATACGATTGAATTGAGCTTTCTTTCGTGTTCGGCTCAATTAAATTTGATGCTTAAAATATTTGTTTGTATTCAATTTATTTATTTAAAGAATGAATTAAATAGGAGGTTTTATATTGCAAGTTTTAACAAGGAAAATACATGCCCATCTCTAACCATTTTCTAACTAAAACCGCTATAGTTGAGTTTCCTTTTGGGTAAGCACTCTTCTTATTCGAGCTCATTAAAGGTGAAGTTGCCTATATAGACAAGAATGAACATATGTTTAGTTCCTTGATTCATTTGCTCCTTCGAAGAGTGACTGGTGAAAAGGACAAGGGAATTAAGGAAAAAAAATTAATATCACAAATAAACAAAAAAGATAAATTAAATAGAAATTTCACTACGAAAAAGGGTTAACGTAACACAATTATTGAAATTTCTACTTTGCTTTTAAAGTTTCCTTAAAAAGAGCTCCATCATTCAAGATTCTCATAATGACGTTGGTTTGTCCTCTATAATATATTTGGCCATTAATAGTCGTAAACATCATTGATATGTCCTCATTTTCTCATTTTCCTTACTTTAGCTTAGTTTTTCTAGCTCTATTGAGCGATAATCAAGTCAAGTCCCATGATAAGGATGCGATGGATCCTGTAGGTAGAAACCAGTGTAGTGACCACTTAAGCATTGCTAAAGGGGTTACCACTTAATAGTTTATCTTCTTTAGTGAAGGTAATCTGAGTGACGAAAGCTATCGACATTCAAAAAATAATCATTGAGTTTTTTTTTTTTTAAAATAATCATTGAGTTAACCACACATACAATTATCAGTTGAGACTTACTCACTGAGATTTCCCATCTCCAACTCATAATGAGAATAAAAGCATTAACGAAGGATATGGGCAGTGCAACAGAGAATAAGCTCATTCCCCTAGTCTTTAATTTATCCTTTCCTACTTACCTACCAAATTCTGCTTTGATGAATCTCTTCACCTTTCCTTCCTCTATTTAGTTCTCCACCAAGCTGTAGATTTCTTGGCACTCGTTAATGTCCTGCAAGTCATTATTGTGGAATGCTCAAATTATCTAGGTGTCACTAGCACGTGCACCACGTTCATTGACACCAAAATCATAAAGAACTTCGTATTACGAATGGCCTCCAACAATTTAGATATGAATATGGGCAAGGGAGTTATTGTCGGCGTATTAATGATTGGATGTATCACTTCATCTATGTATAAGAGTGCAATGTGTAGCGCTTCCACCATTAGTGAAGTGGGTTGCCCTACAATCCTCAATATTCTCGTTTGTAAAGGAACTCTTTGTTGGCTATGATGAAGTTGTACATGTTGTGTTTAATGCCTTCTAGTAAGTATATGGGCCATCAGGTAGCTCATAATGTGCCCATAATGTTAGGGTTGATCCTTTCGAACTAGGAATTCTCTAGGCTAAGTGTGTAACAACACAAAATACGAAAACCTATTGAGAAAAACATTATTGATAACGTACCCTTGATTTGATATTTAATATTTTTTGGAAAAATTTGCATAATTAGTGTTAATTACCCCGTAGGATCAACGAACACCTTTATTATCAATTTGAAAAAAGAAATGATTTATTTTAGTATATAAAGTCGGTTTAAGAAATGTAACATTCATCCTGAAGGATAAAAATCATATCCATCTATAATTTTAAATACAAAATTAACCTAGATAAGGCTTTTGTAGATATCCAAAGATTTTTGTCCTCTCTTATCGAACTAAGAGAGGGCTTATTTTATTCTGGGATCTTGGGTTCCTATAGATAAAAGCCACTACAGTCAATTACTTCTCCTAAGAAAAACTTTTAATTAAAGTAGAGATTAGTTCTTAACCCTCTAATATAAATTTTTTATATAAGGAAGTTGCCATATTGTTCGGAAAACAACCATCATTCTTTTCAAACATATTATTAAATTTTGTAGATAATGCATTTGAATTAAATATATGTATATATTTCTTATTTATTAGGGTAGGAGATGTGTAAATATTTATGGGCTTATGCCTTCTTAGAATGAGCTGTCAACTTACAACCAAATATACAAATAGTCATCCAAAATCTAGTGTACAATAAAGCTAGCTCTTTCCTAAGAGATCAAAGGATCAAACTAGACTCCAAATTAGTTAGTAAAGATTAGTAATTTTTACTTTACGTTCAAGTGATGCTTGCAAAAAAATTCGCTAAAAACTCTAATTTTCATCTTATTTAATTAACCTAGCTAAATTTTCTAACCACCCAAATTTTGATGAAATTTCATCAACATAACGATTCTATACCAACATGAGTAATGCAAAATCCTCCAAGCACAAGAGGACACAAGTCTCTTTTCGTTGGCTTGCGTGTTGGGATAGTATACATTGTAGAAACATAATGCAAGTGTATATGCATGGCAGGTAAATATGTTTTTGTATATAATACCGAATATATTATCATCTTAGTGCTAGTATATATAAATATAAAAATATTAGAGCTAGTTTATGTCTTCAAATAAAGTTTGTAACACATACACCAAAAAAACCAAGGACAATTTTACCTACTAATGCAATCTATCACTCATATGATGCAATACATGAATGTAATGTAGAAAGTGAAAGAAATATATGTAAAAATAAATTTTATTTATTCATTCATTCTAGAATTTACAGCAAACTCTAACTCCGTAGAAAAGAATTGCGGTTAGGCTTCACCATCACAAACATGGGATCTAAGCCTACCATATATATCAAAGCAGATATACCTACTTAAGGTCTTTAAACTCTAGGGTTTTTTTTTTTATAGAATTTAAAAAGAGATTGTCTTCCAAAGGAGAGGACATCGCCTTTTAGAGCCCTACTTTCATGTATAACCATGTACATTTTACTCTTTTCTAACACATAATGGTGTATAACTCGATCTATATGCAAACTACTTTTATAGGCACTTGTACATTTAAATTATATTTTCTAGGTTCATTCTAATGACTCTTACCAGAAAAGTAAAGGGCTGAGTAAAAGAGTTAACATATAAATATAGTGCATCAATTGTATAATATCCTAATGACTCTAATGAAATCCTTAAAGAGCGTAAGTACACCAAAAAAAAATTAAATGTATGACATTCCGGAGTGCAGAAAATAAATAAAGATACAAATGATGCTCTCCAAGCAAAGCACCTTACAATCCATCTACACCATCGACCTAACCTAAACTAGCATTAGTTGTCCTAATAAATAATCTATGTGTGTAAAAGAGGCTACGTGACATTGGTATATTCTATATGATTTTAGTGTTTAAGTGGTATGAATTTTAGATGTTTGTTTATTGAAGGCCAAAAATGTGAATTCATTTGAAGTTTATGTTGTGTATGTTTGGATTTTATTATTTAATTTTTTTATGGATGGAGTTATTTATTTAATTATAAAGAATGTATAGATCACTAAACCACAAGTGCAAGGATTAGTAATTTATAAATTCTATAAGTCTTGTAAATGAAATGAAGTTATTCATCATATAGGATAGATGACCACATAAAGCCTTATGAGAAATTTATTAATAATTCATTAGAGGATAGAGAGAGGGGCCCTTAAATCCAATACGCATGCCCTCAAACTAGAAGCAAGCATGATGTATAGAATCAATGTGATATTATTATTCGATTAAGGGTTATAAATTTTGTGCACCCATGCCTTCCCCAAGTGGAGGCTAGCATGGTGCATGAACCTTGAATTAGGTTATTTAAGATGTATTGAACCCCTTAATGAAATATGAAGTGCCCTCCTAAAAGTAATTAAGAACCACATAAAAAGACCATATGTGATTTAGGTTGCATTAAAGGTTTTGAAATGTAATGTTAATTTCCTTCCACAAGGAAGTAAACACCAAGCATAAAAGTCAAATTATGTAATGAGATTAATTGTAAAATTTATTTGTTTAAAAGTAAAATATAATCAAACAAATTATCAAATTAATTTATTTTTATGTTTAAATTTTTGTTGAATTTTTTGCCTTTACTGAATTATTTAGAATTTTAAAATAAATTTAAATATTTAATTATTTAATAGTTAATAATTAATAAATTATTATTAAAATATATTCAAAAAATTTATTTAAATTCATATTAT